TTTTTTGACCTGTGCACCATTTCTGCCCATGTTTAAAATCGTGTTAATGTTTTGTGGATTCTGTCAAGTGAACTGTCACATTCCTAAACAATGCTGGGCCGTGTACATGTGCAGCCCACACGCCCTGCAGCATGGCGTGGAGGGACAGGGGGCCCTGAGTCCTTCTCAGGAGCACCTCAGGCCATCCGGCTGCAGCCTGTCACTCTCCTCGAGCTCCTGCTCTGCAGAGACGGTGAGGTCTGCAGACCTGGATTCACAGAGCATGTTGACTGCTTCCCTCACCCATTGGAGGCTGATGGTTACCAAGAATTTTAGGGTATTGCTTTATTTTAACCAGAAATACTATCTTTTGGTATACTTTCTGCCTGATTTTCCAGGCAGTGGGTGATGTGTAGTGGAAGGGACTGGCAGTGTGACCTGCCCTGCTGCAGACGCGTGTGAGGAAGATCCAGGGCGGGCTGCGGGTGAAGGGAGGGGATGCTGACGGCTTAGCGGTCGTGTTACCTTCTGTTGGAGGGCAGTGTTGTCAGTGAATGAGTAGATGAAATTTGAGAGAATATAAAATCTCAATCATGTGTTAATGAAGGCTGCCAATGCTTTTTCTAAGGTGTAAAAACATTTTTTGTACTTCTGCAGATCTATGGCTATCGCTATGTGTTGTTTTATCTTGCCTTTGTATATGTCATTTAAAATTAGCTTGTGTTCTCTGGTAAACACCTATTAATTGCATGGTGACCCACATGTACAGACTCCACTTGATAATCCGTGTATTAAATGAACTTGAAGAGCTTTTCCATAGGAACGATGCTAACGTGATACTAGCAGTGAGTTCTTTGATGTGAGTGGGACTCTCCACCTCTTCTTGGCTTAGTTTTTGCCACTGTTTTCACACTCATAGAGGGTCTTTGAAAGACATGTCTTAGAACATAGAACACATGCATGTTGGTGTTGGATCTGGACCCCGTGGAAGAATAGTGTGCCGAGTCCAGCCCTGTGCCATGAATCTAAAGTCCATTTCATTTGCCAGACCAGGATGGCTTTCTGCAGCCCCCAGTAAAAAAAGATTATTTCTGTTTATCCTGCTCAGTGTGTTTCCTGTAACAAATCATTCAAGAAACTCTGGTCCCTGCATGAACATATCAAGATTGTACATGGATATGCAGAAAAGAAATTTGCCTGTGAAATTTGTGAGAAGAAATTCTATACCATGGCTCACGTGCGGAAACATATGGTTGGTAAGTTTTCCCTGCTGCTTTTCTCTCACACCGTAATTTCCCTGTTTTCAGGGTAGCTTGTGCTCTAGACAAAGCAGGACATGAGTCGCTGCCATATTTTAGTGTCAAGTTTTGATGTGTCAAGACGAACTGTCGCGTGTTCTCAGAGTGCACTGATGGTATGGTCCCACTCACAGATGTCTTTCCAGCATGGTTACATGTTTTCCTCTGCAGTCCCTTTATCTTAAAGTATAGCTGCTTACAGCCTGATGTCGGTCTTTTCTAGCTTGGGCTTCCTGGTGGAACTGTTTTAAGTGTAAGTGTGTTCTATGTTGCAGCACACACAAAAGACATGCCGTTCACATGTGAGACCTGCGGGAAGTCATTCAAGCGCAGCATGTCACTCAAGGTGCATTCCCTGCAGCACTCTGGAGAGAAGCCCTTCAGGTGCGAGGTAAGGAACATGCCCCACACAGCCAGGCCGGGCTGCAGCTCCCGGAAGCAGGCCACCAGCTTCCAAGGCAGCATGCTGTGTGTGGCGTGTGCTCTCACTAGGAAGAGCAGTGTCCCGTCCGACTCACAGCCAGCTCTCCCAGGGTAGCGGCAGCACCTTGTACTGATGCTCTTTTCTGTCAGTGACTCAGAGAAGTTGACTGTGCTCCAGTGATAGCTACGGGGGAAATTTCCCTTTTGCTCACAGCTCGGCTGCAGAAACAGTCAAAGTGACAGCCGGCACAGCAGCTCCGTTTGGGGTGTGCCAGATGGGCTCCCAGCAGAGACGGTGACAGGGCGGGGCAGGCGAGGCTCCATGCTTGGGTCCAGCCCTTGCCCCTGTGTCCCTGCAGAACTGTGACGAGCGGTTCCAGTACAAATACCAGCTGCGCTCCCACATGAGCATCCACATCGGGCACAAGCAGTTCATGTGCCAGTGGTGCGGCAAGGATTTCAACATGAAGCAGTACTTCGACGAGCACATGAAGACGCACACAGGTGAGGACTGCTGGGCTGTGTGCATCCTCGGTGGCTGCTGGGTTCTGCCTTTCAAAGCTCTGAACCCCAAGGCCAGGCATGGTGCTATGTACCTGAAATCCCAGCACTTGGGAGGCAGAGGCAGGAGGATTCTTGTGAGTTTAAGAGCAGCCTGAGCTACAAAGTGAGCTTAATTAAGGTCAGCTGGAACTGCATAGTGAGATCCTGTCTCAAAAAGACAATCAATCAAAAAAACCCTCTAAACCCCAAATTGGTAGCTCACTGAAAATTCCACTTAACCTTATGCAAAGTCCAGGGACATAGCTCAGTGGCAGAAGTGCCTCCCTGGCAAGTGCAAGGTCCTGAGTTCCAAAAACAACAACAAGAAAAAAAAAAAAGAAAAGAAAAAAACATTTGAAAGAAGAGAAATTTATAATGCTGAATTGACTTTCCTGCCTCTGTTTTAAAAAGGGTTATTTATGTCTTTAATGGTGTGAGTTTTTCCTTGAGTCTAGGAACTCCTGAAATCTTGTTTCATATATATGCATTCAGTATTTTTTCAAAGGTTCTGGTCCTTTTAAAGATGGAGGACACTACTTTAAATAGAATGCTCTCAATGTGCTGAAAGGGTTTTTTGCTGGCATGGTGGTGCACACCTGTTTTCCCAGCACTTAGGAGGATTAGACAGGAGTATCACCACAAGTTTGAGACCATCCTAGCCTACACAGTGAGTTCAAAGCCAGGCTCAATTACATAGTGAGATCCTGTCTCAAAATAAAGTTGGATTTGATTTACCAAAATCCACAGCTTTTAGGAATGATACATTGCAAGAGGTTACATAAATGTTAACTGGGTGTTTTCATGGGTAGAACAGCTCTCCTAAAAACATGGCCACGGTCCACAGCTTGCACTAGATGTGCTGGCATTGCCCATCCTTGTCCAAAGTGAACTGCATGAACCATTGTTAGGTCTCCACATCAGACCTCATCGTAGGACTACAAGTGTACAGAGTGGCAGAGCTAGAAGAAAGTGTAAAGGCTGGCAAGATCGCTCAGCTAGCTAAGTGCCTCTTAGGCAAGTGCAGGGACCAGGGTCTGATCCCTGGCACCACAGGCCACACCAGCCCCACTCCCTGGCACGCTGAGCTGGTCACCGAGACTAGGCGTGGTGGCACACACCTGTAATCCCAGCACTGGGGAGGCTGAAAACAGAAGGATCACTACAAGTCTGAGCTGCGTAGTGAGACCCTGTACCAAATAAGATAGATAGATAGATAGATAGATAGATAGATAGATAGATAGATCGATCGATCGATCGAACAGGGGTCACTTCAGTTTCCCTCTGTGCTCCTTACTTAGCTAGTGGTGAGCGGTTTCCACCCGTGGTGGCTGCACCTCCTTAGCTCCTTTGCTTGCCTGGTAGCTTCCTGGCCCGCCCAGAGCTGGGTGTGAAGCTATGGGGGCTCTGGTTAGCTGTGTTAGGCCTCGGAAGGAAGTAATGGCTCTGGAGACCCGACTCAGAGAAGGAACTGGCAGGGTACCTAACAGAGTCTCCTCTCACAATCTAGCAGCCCGGGGCTTCTTATTCTAACGGAGTCTCTAGAAGGACTGCGTTTTTATTGTTGTTACTTGGCAGGAGACTGTGGAACTAGATAGAATGTCAGTTGTTTTCTTTCTTCCTTTTTTTTTTTTCCATACTGGGGATTGAACTCAGGACCTTGTGCTTGTCAGGCAGGCCCTTACTCTACTGAGCTATCTTCCTGGCCCCTAGTTGTTTTCTTTTTTTAAAGTAAGGAGTTGCATTCATATGCAGGGTTTGGCACCAGGTGTTAAACATGAGCGCTGCAGGCTGGCGAGGGTGACGCACACTCCAGCCACCTCTGCCCCGCATCTCTGCCCACCTTCCTGTGCATCTGTTTTCCTCTGCCCTCCCTCCCTCCTCTCCTTTTTCTGCATTTCTTTCGTACCCTTTGTCTTTCTCTTTTTTTCTTTTGAACCATTATTTATAATATAAAACCAACATATGTATTTTGTGATTTTATTGTGTAAAACTTCGTTAAGTATTTTTGAATTGCCTAGGTGAGCTAGGCATTTCCTGTTTCTCCTAACAGTATGATTCACTTTTTTTTCTCATTAATAAAGTAAAACAGCAGGACATGGTGCTGCATACCTGTGATCCCAGTACCCAGGAGGCTGAGATGGGAGGGTCACTGCACTTTCAAGACCAGACTGGGCTACATAGTGAGTTCAAGCCAGCCTGAAAAGACCATGTCTCAAAAAAACGAAAAGAACCCCCCCACAAAATAAAAAAGAAAAAGAGGGCTGGCAAGATAGCTCAGTGGACTAAACTACCTCGGCAAGCACAGGTACTGGGGTTTGATCCCTGGCACCAGATGCAGCGCTGGCCCTGTCCCTAGGCACCCTGAGCCCTGAGCTGGCTGCCAAGACCAGGCATGGTGGTGCACACCTGTAATCCCAGTGCTGGAGAGGCTGAAAACAGGAGGATCACTAGAAGTCTGATCTGTGTAGTGAGACCCTGTAGACCCTGTATTCAGGGCCGGGGAGGTGGCTCAGTGGAATAAGCGCTTCCCTGGAAAGTGCAAGGGCCTGAGTTCAGTCCCCGGTTCCACAAAAAAAAAAAAAAAAAAAAAAAGTTCAAACAAGGACATGCCACTGAGTAGAGGGGACATGCCAGTTTCAGAAGAGTTTGACGTCGGGGGAAGCTGGCTGTGGTGGTGCATGCCTGTAATCCCAGCACTCAGGAGGCTGAGGCAGGAGGAGGACTGCAAGTTTGAGGCCAGCCTGGGCTGCAGTAAGTCCAGGCCAGCCTGAACTGCGAAGCAAAACCTGGTCTCAAAAACAAATAAACAGGCGGCTTGCCCCTTAGCTCAGTTAAGTGGCTGCTTCAACAAAGCAGTCAGGCTCAGGTTGCTGTGGTTCCGATCCCCACAACTCAAGCCAGCCAAACCTGCCCTGAAGGCATTCGGAGCAAAAATAAATAAATAAACAAATAAACAAAAAAGATGTCAGGGGAGATGCATGTCTTAGAAATAGCAAGTATTTACTACACAAGGATTTGCTAAAAGCCTAGTAAACTCGTCTGCCTCAGTGCATGACTGAGCTCAGTCTGCGTCGGTCTGCAGAGCTGCTCACCAGGCAGGGCCACCATGCGAGGCAGTGCAGCGACCACGGTGAAGAATGTGAGCAGAGTTGGGGCGCCCACCCGGGTGGAGGGGTGAGAGTGTGATTAGGAGGCCAGCGAAGGGGGGCAGGCAGCGGCCAGCTCACAAAGAACCCCTGAAGCCATGCAAGGAATTTTGGACTTGATGAATGGTGGGGAGGAAAGTTACGCAGTATATGACATAGCACTTTTTTGTTCCCCATTGCTGGGATTGAACCCAAAGCCTCCCACTGAGCTACCTCCTCAGCCTTTTTATTTTTTACTTTGAGACAAATTCTCACTAAGTCGCTAAATTACCCAGGCGGGGCTCCTCCCGCCTCAGCCTCGCCCATTGTTGGAATTGCAGCTGTGTGCCACTGGCTACAGTGTGCAGAGCAGACTAAGGGGAGGGGTGAACAGAGCAGGTGAGGCCAGCGGTGGATGGTGTGGGTTTGTGTTGGGCAGCTGTGTGCAGAGGGTGGCCTGGCAGCTACAGACAGGGAGGGCCCCATCAGCCCAGGGACTGACTAGCTGCTGCAGATGTGAGCGGTAAGAGCCGAGCCGAGCCGAGGCCTGGCCTCAGCCTCAGGACCATCTGCCCTTTGCAAAGTCAGAGCAGTGGAGGAAGGAGCAGGCTAGTCTGCTGTTACGTGTGTGAGCTTTGAGATGACTGTAGGACGTTCTAGAAGAGATATGCAGGAAGCAATTCGAAGCATGGGCTCAAAGCTCAAGAAAGGGCTTCTAGCTCCAGACCTGCAGGCTTCCGGGGCTGCCCTAGCATGTCCGTGCTGAGCAGCCGGGGTGCACACTCTGGGCTGAAGCTCACCTTTCTGCAGCAGTGCGGAAGGCAGCCAGCCGCAGTCCTGCGCTTTGCTGTCTTCCCTGCACTGTCTTCCCTTCCAGTCACCATACTGTCCTCACACAGAGACCAGCTTTACCCATTAGGCGGACCTCCATACCTGATCATCTCTGTGCCTTTCTCATCCCCTGGATGAACTTAGCCACCCATTTCCCAGCTCTTCTTCAGGTGGACGCTGTACAGGTAGTTGACTTCCGAAGCTGTTTTATTCTTCCTTGGTTCAGCCTCTTTATAATCTTACCTCAGGGGTCAGAGGAGCCCCAGCATCACCAGGAAGCAGTTAGGAGCTGAAGCCCAGTGGATAATGAGGGTTAGTGGGAGGCAGGGTGGTGGGTTGATGCCCGCGAAGGGACGGAGCGGCCACGTCAGGGATTTGGCAGCAGGCGAGGGAACGAAAGGTGATTCAGCAGTAACAGAAACCAGCTTTCATGGGAACCACGGGTTTGTGGGAGACTAGGTCTGTTGTTCAGGGACATTCTGTGGCCAATCACTTGGAGCCTGGGAGACTGAATGAGAGCTGCGGAGAGAGGTTGGGATTGGATGTGAGCACAGGTTAAAGTTACTCACTGACTGCTCAGGGTCTGAGTGCGTTGTGCCCTCAGAACTCCGGGAACCGAGCGGAGAATAATTGCTCGGACCAGACTAGAAATGCAAAGGCTTAAAAAAAAAAAAAGAAAAAGAAAAGAAAAAAAAAAAATGCAAAGACTGAGGCTGTTGGGTGAGGAGTGCGAACTGAGGAGTGTTGCAGGTCAGGGGCCCTGGGTCTCTTAACTGGTTATCAAACAGGGTTGCTTTTAACACACTTTATTGTACAAGTTGTTTTGCATCAGAAAATACAGATTAGCATTAAAAATAAAAGTTGAGTCAGGCATAGTGGCACACCCTATAATCCCAGCACTGAGGAGCCTGAGGCAGGAGGATCACTACAAGTCTGAGCTACATAGGGAGACTGTGTACCAAATAAATAAAATAAAATAGATGTGGTTTTTAAAAAGTAAACAAAATAAAATACATAAAGTAGAAATCTCCCATAATCCTGTTATGTAAAGATAGTCATTAGTAGGGGCCAGGAAGTTGGCTCAGTGGAATAAGCACTTCCCTGGCAAGTACAAGGGTCTAAGTTCAATCCCCGGCTCCACACACAAAAAAATAAATAAGTAAAAATTTTAAAAGAAAAGATAGTCATTAGTGAATCAGCCAGATAGCTCAGCAGAGTACAGTGCCTGCTTAGGCAGAGCACAGGGATGGGGGTTCTATCCCAGGCACCACAGGCTGTGCTGGCTCTGCCCCCAGAACGTGCTGAGAAAACACTGAGACTGGGCATGGTGGCATGCTCCTGTAATTCCAGCACTTGGGAGGCTGAAAACAGGAGGATCATTATGAGTCCGATTTGTGGAGGGAGACCCTGTAGACCCTGCACTAAATATATTTTAAAAAGATAATCATTGGTATAGGTTGTCAAGTTCTATCCATATTTTTCCTATGCATATTTAAAAGGTGGATACATTTTTTAATTTTTTAATGTATTTAGTACAGCTCAGACTTGTAGTGATCATCCTGTTTTCAGCCTTTCCAGTGCTAGGATTACAGGCATGCACCACCACGCCCGGTCTCGGTGGCGGGCTTAGAGTGCCCCAGGGACGAGCCAGTGTGGCCTGTGGTACCAGGGATCAAACCCCAGTCTGCTTGTGCCTAAGCAGGTGATTAGTCCACTGAGCTATCTCACCAGCCGTGGTGGATACATTATATTTATAATCTGCTTATTACTAGATGATAATCTTTATAGGGTGTAGATTTTCATGTTAACACATTTCTGTACTTTATAATGTTTTCAGCAACATTTTCCATTAGATATTATGATTTATGATTTTTTGTTTGTGTGTTTTGGATTTTTTATTTTTTTGTATTTAGGACAGGGTGTACAGGGTCTTCTGCGTAGATCAAACTCATAGTGATCCGTCTGTTTACAGCCTCCCAAGAGCTGGAATTGCAGGGCCGGGGAGGTGGCTCAGTGGAATAAGCGCTTCCCTGGCAAGCACAAGGGCCTGAGTCCAATGCCCGGTTCCGCCAAAAAAAAAAAAAAAAAAAAAATAGCTGGAATTGCAGGCGCTCACCACCATGCCCAGTCGCAATCGCCATCTCAGCTTGGGGGGGGGGGGACAGCAGGCCCAGGGATAGAACCCCTGACCCCTGTGCCTGTTTGCATGTGCTTTAATCCGCTGAGCTCTTTGACAGGTCCTGTGTTTTGGGTTTTTGAGACAGTGTCGCCACTCGCTGTGCAGCCCAGGCTGGCCACAGACTCATAGCGATCCTCCTGCCTCTGCCTCCTACGTGCTGGGATTACAGGTGTGCACTACCGTGCCCAGTTCGGAATTGATTTAATCAGTGCTCTTTAACACAGAGTTTGGTTTTTAAGATGATTGGAGGAAATGGTTCTGCACTCGTCCAGAAACAAAGTGCAAGTCACATGCAAGCAACACCGTGTGGGGCAGAGTACTGGGAAGCAGAAACAGAAGAGAAATAGGGTGGACTGGCAGTGGTTCTGATGGGGAAACATGGCCCCTGCGGACCCCTCAGTCCAGTCTCTTGGAGAAGTTAGGGAGTCCCAGCCCCCTTCCCTGGGGTAGGGCAGAAAGTGTCAGTTTTCTTCCTGGATAAGGACGCCGAGAAGAGTGTGGCCTGGAGGGTGGGCCGCCTCGTGGGGAGTCAGAGCGGAGGACAGTGGGAAGCACAGTCCTGGGCCTGCGGCGCTGCGGGTTAGGTGTCAGCAGGCACAGTCTCCACCTAGACTTGGAGCCTCAGGGAAAATCACGATGTGGCTCACACCGTCAGGGCGGAAAGTCACTGGTGCATATCCTGGTGCAAAGCGAGAGTAGAAACAGGGCCACTCTGACTGGAAGGACCAGGGAAGGGGTGTGGCCGGGGCCAGAAAGCACTTTGGGTGCTCGGTTGTGTGCCTGCACAGCCCTAAGCTGCCATCCCGCTTCGGGATGGGGGTCCGCCCGGGAATCACCATGCCACGCGTCACCCACAGGAGAGAAGCCCTTCATCTGCGAGATCTGTGGCAAGAGCTTCACCAGCCGGCCCAACATGAAGCGGCACCGGCGCACGCACACCGGGGAGAAGCCCTACCCATGCGACGTGTGTGGCCAGCGCTTCCGCTTCTCCAACATGCTCAAGGCGCACAAAGAGAAGTGCTTCCGCGTGACCAGCCCAGTGACCGTGCCTGTGACGCCCGCGCCCATCCCACCCGCCACGTCTCCGGCGGCGCCGGTCCCCATCCCCGCGGCAGTGAGTGCCCCTGCTACCCCGGCCGCACCCGGCAGCCTGAGCCCGGTGAGCGCCCTCCCGCCACGACCCATCCCGCACCCCTTCTCGCACCTGCACCTCCACACACACCCGCACCACCCGCACCACCTGCCCATCCCGCCGGTGCCCCACCTGCCCCCACCACCTGCACTCTTCAAGAGCGAGCCGTTGAACCACCGCGGCCAGAGTGAGGACAGCTTCCTGCGGCACCTGGCGGAGAAGAATGGTGCGGCCCAGCACCACTAGCCTCGGCCAGCTGGGGTCGAGTGGGCAGCGGTTTACTGGCCGCAGCCTCCTCGCCAGCCCTGGGCTCTGTCAGGATCTGCATGAACCAGCAGACCTGGGCACAGAGCCGGGGACCACCTAACACTCATGGCAACTGTCCTCAAAACCAGGGGAACCACCGAACTGAAGCCCAATTTGCTTGCATTTTCTGATGACTTTTATAAATTTCAAATACTCCAACTTATGGGATTTTATAATTTCATATCAGCTGATGAGGTATGCTTGCTTTTATATCCTGGACTTCTCCTCAAAGAGGAGATAGGCCTGGTTTTCTTTGTACTAATCGGGAAGGCTGTGAGATTAATCCAGAGCATTAATTGTATCACTGTGTATTGTAATGAATTCTTTTCAGCTTTTGGTGCTGGCTGCAGAGTGGAGCTAGCCCCGGTTCACAGTATATCATATCAAGCATTATAGAGAAAGAAATTTTCTTCTTTGTGTAGCTCTCCTAACGCACTCTTTATTTTACTACAGAAATTATTTTAGAGTTTTTGTATAGACTTCTTAGTAGTCTGTTTCTAAAATGAAATGTATTTCAATAAGCGGTGTAATTTTTCAGTGTAGCTGAACTTACGTTGTAAAATAGAAAGAATTTTTATAATCATCAAATGTGATTCTTAAAGATGCATATAACTTCTATAATTCAGAGTTATTCTTACACCCGTACAACTCAAAGGTGCTTTAGAGACTGGCTGTCTCTGCGCGGGCCACCGGCCAGGTTCCCACAGGAGCGCGGCTTTGCCTCGGAGCAGAGCAGTGTAAGATCCGCGTTACAGATGCCCCGCGGCCGGCCGCGTGCCTGGCCTCCGTGCTGCTTCGGGCTCCATTCCTGCACTAAGTGGAGAGACCTGCCGAGAGTTGGGCTTCTTCCAAGGCCATCGCACACAGTTGCCCTGGTTTGGAAATGTAGACGAAGTTGTTGACGGTCAGGAAAAGGAAGTGGTATAGTAGGATTGTTGCTTCCTAGTCATGGCTGTTTCTCCCTTTCTTTAGGGACTCTGCTCGTGTTTGACCCTCTGGGAAACAAGTAGGAGCCTTTCATCTTGAGGTTGCTTTATTTTTCTAGAATTGTTACCAGAAGTTAAACTAGTAAACTGAAGTCTCCAATGTGATTTGCCAGTAGTGGACGAGAAATCTGGGTGAGAAGACAAACCGGGTGTGGGTTTGGGAACATCTGATGCCCACGGCTGAGCAATTTTCGCAGGTTAAAGACCAGGCCAGTCCGAAGTGTTGCTGGGCTGCGGGAGCCTTGCTGGCCTGCAGCCTTCGGTGAGGAGAGTAGCGCTGCCTGGCTCCAGGCAGCGAGTTCGGCCGCTTTGCTGGCATGGGTGCAGGGCAGGTGGGGCAGGGCACGTGGATGACGACCACACTCAGCCAGGTTCCGTATTGCCACCAAGTCCATGTTCATCTCAGAGATCGGAGTCCAAGGACAGGTCCTTCTCTCTCAGCTGCCCTCTTCATTTGAAACCTTGAGATTCCTTCGTTACTCTTCCTCGGGTCCTTAAATCATTACCCAGCTTTTATTTATTTTATTTTTTAATATTAAATGCAGATAGGCGACAAGCACTTTTCCAGCTGATTAGCTCTGTAACAGGGAAAAATAAAACTCTTGGTTGAGCTTAAATCCTGATTTCCTGTACCCTCTCTCAACTTTTTGGTTTAATGATCCTAAGTTTTCTACTTCTGATTTTGTCTTTGTCTTCTATAATGCATAGGAAAATATTGCAGGAGACAGAGAAGTATCTCAAGATGTACTTTTCCTCTTCGTTTTGAATATAAGTTTTTAAAAATAGTATTTTTAGTATTTGTGTATGTTCTTGGAGCCCCTGGCACCCAAGCCAATAAGGAAATTAATTCCCTGCTGTGACTATTACGACTTCAGTGTCTGTCCCTGCTCCCTCCTCCATCTCCTTTGCATTCCAGGACAAGTTTGTAAAGCTACACTTTTCTGTAGACATAGCATATATCAAGGCTAAAGGGCGGGGAGATGGCTCAATAGAATAAGCGCTTCCTTGGCAAGCGCAAGGGCCTGAGTTCAATCCCCAGTTCTGCAAAAAAAAAAAGGCTATAATGTTAAAATAATTATTCTTAAAGAGATATACATTATAGGCTTAGTTCATTGGTTATACCTTCATTGTTCTAAATAAATTTACAGTATTGGGCAATAATTTAAAATTACAGACTTGAGATCTTTGAATGAATCCTTTCATGAAGTATGCTGTGAGTATACCCAGAAAATTCAGGTAGTTGTCTGTCATTCACGTCGTTGTAATCCCATAGGAAAGTAGCTGATACACAGGAAAAATCAGTAGCAAGCAAATCACCACCACCATCCTTTCCAGAAGTAAAAGAAAAAAAAAATTAAAGTTAGCATTATCATACAGTAAAATTCTTGTTGAAATAGAGTGTGGAACAATCTAGAAGCTTCCACTCTATTTTCTTCTGGCTCGTCCCTTCCCGGACATATGAACTGTGGTGCAGGAGGACAGCCTCTGTGGTATCACATGGTGCGCGACAGTGACCTGCGCCAAGGAGAGTCAACGCGAACGCTCCGAATAGCCAAATAGCCGGCTGCTTGGGAAGCCTTCTGGGGTCGGGGGGACCTCTGGCCAGGGCGAGAAGTGGGTGCTCGCCGCGCTCGAGCCTGTTACCTGCTCGGCTGCTCTGGAATGACTCCGGAGCGCTGGGTTCTCAACCCTTCTTGCTGTGATTTCAAAGACAGTAGAGGCCCTAAGTAGCGGTCCACAAAATGAGGCTCTCTGATAACTGTGTTTTACAGTCTTCAAGGGCTTGTATTGCTGCAGGCGCTATGGAAAATTCCCCAAGGGCTTTTCCGAGTTGGCATTGTATCTCTGGTGATTGGTTGGTGTTTGTGGTTTTTGTCTTTTTTTTCATAGATTCATCATTCAATTTTTTTTTTTTTTTTTTTTTTGGTACAGGGTCTCACTCTGCAGCTCAGAGCATGCAAAGCATGCGGTGCCAGGGATCAAACCCAGTCCTTAGGCTTGCGAGGCTGGGCTTAGAGTGCTGAGCTATTTCCACAGCCCCACAACTTTTTTTTTTTTTTTAAGCCTTAAATACAGCTGCTGCCCTTGTAATCCCAACACTTGGGTGGGAGGCTGAGGCAGGAGGATCACTGTGAATTCAAAGCCGGCCTGCACTACATAGGGAGACCACGCCTCAACACCTCCCTGCCCCCAAAGAAAAGGCTGCTGTTTCTCAAATTAAGTCAGTAGGCTCATGCTGAAGTTTTAAAATTTGAACAAGAACAAAAAAAAAAAAGACTCAGTTGAAAGCATGTGGTTCCATTTCCACACATATTTATGATTTCATTCTTATTTTTAGCAAAAAGGACTCTCTGCATAAAACTTTCCTGTGGCTCCAAGAAGGCTTTGCACATCCCTCTGCGTGTTTTCGGCCTCTTGCATTCGCAGGAATGGCCCCAGGCAGTGGCTGAGCCTGCAGGTTCCTTACCGGCCCCACCCTCAGCCGAGATTTGTCCCTCACATCCTAACTGAAGGCACGTGCTCGTAAGAGGCGCCGGTGAAAATGTTTGACACTTCTTCACTCTCTGTTTTGTTTTTGTTGCATGGATATGTATCGTTCCATTTGGTTTTATGGGTAGTTTTGTCTTATATTTTTACTGTCAGTTTTAAATTTTGAGAATATGAAACAAAGATAGGAATACATTGTAGACATGTATATAGTCTCCCATCTTGCATATTTCATTTAGTAAAATACAGTATAGTATGTGGAATTTTTTTTGTTTAAAAAACTCTTAAAAATTAAAGGAAAAATCCTTTTCTTTGAGCTACTGTAAGAGACAACTTCCACTGCGTTGCTGACCTACACGATGAACATTTCAGTGCTGCTCCAGACCATGCAGGCAGCAGTGAAGGGAAAGGGGGATCGGTTACAGCTAAGCATATGATCAAGAACTACTTTTTAGAATAACAACTCACCTAGAATTCTTCACACTAACACTGAGTGAGTAAACATTGAGTTTTAATTTTCCTCCGCCTAAACCAACATAGGGAATTTCTCTTTTTTCAAGAATGAAAAGTCAAGAAAAAAAGAAAGAAAGAAAGAAAGAAAGAAAGAAAGAAAGAAAGAAAGAAAGAAAGGTCTTAGCCATTAGAGACAGTGGCATTATTATGCAATAACAGCGTCCCGCTGACCTGCTTGTGTCGTCTGTGGCGTTTACCAGAAGTCCCGCTCCGCAGCCCTGGACACTACCTCGATAAAGCAAACCAGAGATCCTCTCTACCCTTTCTATGGAAGCCATACGAGTTGCCATTTGATATATCCACTTTCAGAGTTCTCTACTTTTATACTCCCTAGACTTTTTTTCTGGTACCAGGAATCAAACTCAGGACCTCATGCTTGCCAGGCAGGCTCTGTGCCACTGAGCTACATCCCTGGCCCTTCAGACTTTTTATAAACTTTATAATTAGATCTTTCTGTCTTAAAAGAGTAGGTTTTGCAAGAGTCAAAAGAAAATGGCACTCATAGTTGTTCCAACTTCGAAGCTTTAGCTTCAGTAAATTGGTTTAAAGAAGCAGGTAACTATTTTTTTTTCCTAATTCTGTATTGAAGTCAAAACTATCTTGCAGAGTTGTATATCCAGAAAACAGACTTTTTCCCTCACTCTAAGCTGTGCCGGTGTAAGAAATGTCACGTGAAATGGGTTTCTTTCTACCTTGTGAGCTGTGGAGGTCGCTCGTGTCTTCAGTGTTCTCGAGTGGGCTCCGCTGCTCGAGGAGGCTCAAGCTCGCCTTTGCCTCGACCCTCGCTCTCCTCCCGAGTGCCTTCAGAACGCCCGAACCCCGCACACGCCTCCCTGCCCGGACTCCTACCTCTCCCGGTGATCTCCTCTGTGCACACTGGCAGCCCCTCTGCGGCGTGGTGAACGTTAGCTAAAGCCTGGGCTGGCCGTGGGGAGCGTACGTCTGTCTGCTTCTTCCGTGTCCTTTAGGGGTTGTGTTTCCAGTTTTGTTCATCCCCCCCCTTGCCTCGCTGCTGTTGGAAACGTTAGCATCCTCCCACTCCTCACCTGCCGCCCCCCAGCTGCCGCTCCTCTGTGAGCAAAGGTCACCTGGGTCCCCCGAAGTCTTCTTGAATGCTCGCCTGCCCTTCCCGACACGGGCCCTGAATGCTGCTGTGCTGTGTCCTCTATCTTTCCCTAAGCGGTTTGCAAGTTGTCCCATAATTTGATTTCAGTCAGGCGAATTTAAAAGTGCTCTCCAGGTTTAACAAAAGTCCTTTACTGACTTCCAATCCGCCTCCTGCATCCATCCTCTCAAAACCCTGTTTCTTTTCTAGCTAGTTTTCATCTAATACATTTTAAAAGTGTGATTGCTACATGGTATATGAAGGATGTAATAAAATGGAAGGCGTACCGGGTCCGCACATGCCGTGAGTGTCTCGCTGCCTGCCTGCCGAGGCCTGTCTTAGCCTTGGGCTGCTGTTTCACAGCCCGAGCCACAGTTTGTTGTGAACGGTCCCTGGTTCCCCAGGTTCTCCAAGAGTGGACAAAGAAACTGCTTGAAATGAGGAAATTGTATTCCATTTTTTAAATAAGGAAATGAAAACTATCAAATATTTTGGCTGTAATCAAAACCTTTGCTTCCTGATTTAAAAGACCACGCCTCTCTCCTTCAAGTGACCAGTACTCAGATGTTGAAGACACTGCAGAGGTTTAAGGACAGCCGCTAGTGCAGCCTTCCTGCTGTCAGAGGGATGGAGGACAGTGTGAGGGCTGTCTGTGTTGCATTACTAAGCGTAAGACTGAGTGTCTTCCACTTAGCTGGGGCGCGAGTGCAAGAAGCAGAGCCACATAGCGGGAGCAGTGGCAGGGGCTCCTCACCTCTGCCCCCAGTACCTGTGTGTTCCCCGACATTGGCATCTGAGTATAACTGGCTGCCCGAGGCTCGCTGGCCAGCTCACGCTCCCATCCTGAGAGCACAGCCAGTGCCGGGTGCAGGGCCGTCGCACCCAGCATGCCAAGGGGCCACAGACTTCTGGTCCAGGGTCCTCAGCAGGGCACATCCTGCAGCCTCCGAGCTGCACATCACTTTCAGGCTGCTTTGCTTCTTGCTCAGACCAGGGCTGTACAGATCGCTGAAGGTGCCCCATAGAACACACAGGACAGGCAGAAACGGGAGCAGAGCCGTCACCCTGTGCGTGATCTCGCCTTGGCCGGCTGGTCCGGACCCAGAGCTGAGTGCGCTGTCCCCTGTGCCCAGCCTTCACAGGTGATTGTTCGGGCTCACACCCGGCGTAGGACTTGAGACCATGCCTGCCCTCGTACGAAAGCTGGCAGGAAGTACTGCATGGGGCTGGGCCTCCTAACCCTTCTCTGGGTATCTTTCCATGCTTGATTAGTCGCCTCATTGGGCTAAAAAGAAAGCGACCGTGTGGCATAATTTTGGTGTTTGCGTCTCAAGTTTTATTTCCAAGGCTATAGATCCGGGCCCAGAAAACCAGATGCATTCTCTATCTTGCATAAATTTGCATGTGCATTTCGCGCGTGTCTTGATCGGGCTGGTTCTGTTCCATCGGCAGTACTGGCTTTGTCCGCAAGGGGGCAATAAAGTACTTCGCTGTTGTCTTCGGGCTCGCGCTCAGGTCCTAGGGTTCCAGTCCCTCGGTTCCCCGCTCACTCGAGCATCTTGAAGGTTGAAGGCATGTCCCCCCCTCCTCACTGAGTCCCGTGATTGCTCAGCCCCGTGACCCAGGCAGTGACGCGCTGTGTGGGGTCCTCAGGGATCCGGTGGCTTCTGAGGAGCTGTTACTCGCATGAGGGCTTGCTTGTCTGGCTGCGCGCTCCCTTGACTCTGGGCTTCACCAGAGCCTTCTGGCCGAGCAGGTCCGTCTGTCACCAGTGAAGGGCAGGCCCAGCCGTGACCCCTTAGCCTGCACTGAAGCCACCTGCAGGGCCCTCTGCACCACCTCTGCCTGGCCCTTGTCCCGCAGCCAGGGCCAGCGCTGTGTGCTGCTCACTCCAGCCTGTGCGGAAGGACAAAGGGCGGAGGCGAGGCGCAGGTGGCCAGGTGCCCTCTGTCGTGATTTTGTTTTCCTCCACAGTACCAAGATCACGTGCACTTTTCCTCATTTCTTAAAAGAAAATCCAGTTTGCTTGCCGGGAACTATTTAGCGTTAGGTTTACAAAGCTTGTTGTTGAATGTTGACTGTTTGTCCAAAGGGGTTTGACGAAATAGAAGCTGCTTAGTCCTGTTCTGCCTGCTGGGTCATAAGGATTAAGGCCACGCGGCTGGGGCACTTACGTCAAGTCAGAAGGGGCCGTGTCCCTCTCCTACCTCTGCTGAGACGCACCGCACGGGAAGTCCGGGGACTGGCGCCGCCGGCGGGCAGGCGGTGGGCGGGGCGCAGTGGCGGTGGGCGGGGCGAGGAGGCGCCTGGCAGGAGCAGGGAACGCCGAGGGTCTCCACCGCCGCTGCCAGTCCCCCCTCCCGCGGCATACCGATGTCCCCTTTTTAACTACACCAAGATTTTTCTTTTTTAACAATTGAAATGCACTTTTTTTTTAAACTTTCAACTCAATCATGATTTTAAGTATAAAAAATTTATAGATTGTTAAAACTACTTTTTGTGTTTTTTTAACCACTCAATGTAGCATTGTATATTTTATTCTTGTGAGACTCTGGTACAAGGTGTGCCGCTTAGTGGCTTTTCTGAGATGCTGGGCCTTTGGATGTGTACGGTAACCAACCCAATGCTAATGTTCAAAGTTAAAAAAAGAAAAAAAAAGAAAAGAAAAGAAAAAGAAAAAAGCAGCCGCATCTTTGGTGTGTCTTTCTTCGGTGCTAACTTAGCTTCGGTCAGCAAGGTTTGCCGGCGCCCTGTTTAACGAACCGACCCTTGTGGGTCACACAAGTGGGCCCCTCGAGTGTTACGGGATCATCGGTGGCGACCCCCAGCCCG